GAAGTGAAGAGCAATGGGGAAGGAAGTGAAGAGTGTATGGAGGAAGGGGGTTGGTGAAGAGTGTATGGAGGAAGGGGGAGGAAGAGTGTATGGGGGAAGGAGGAAGTGAAGAGTGTAGGGAAAGGTGGAGGTAAGAGGGGAAGGGGGACGAAGAGAGTATGGGGGAGGTGACGAGTGTATGGGGAAGGAGGTGAAGAGTGTATGGGGGGAAGGGGGAGGTGAAGAGTGTATGGGGGGAAGGGGAGGGAGAGGTGAAGAGTGTATGGGGGGAAGGGGAGGGAGAGGTGAAGAGTGTAATTGGAAAGAGGGAGGTGAAGAGTGTGTGGGGGAGGGGGAGAGGGAGGTGAGGAGTGTATGGAGGAAGTGGGAGGTGGAGAGTGTATGGGGAGAGGGGAAGTGAAGAGTGTATGTGGGTGTACTGCATACATAAGTACTGGTTCCTGTAATCTCTTCTGATTCATATTACAGCTGTTAACATTCAAACTCGCCTCACAATGGGAATATATACGTTTTCTAGTGGGGAGCGTCACAGAAATCGGTAAACATTTAGAATGGGTAACTCATATGCTGTATGTTGTTTTATGCGAATTATACCAGTGTCCGTGCATATAATCTTAAATGTGTATACAGTTAGTATTAAGGGAGAACTCATGGTGATTGGGAAGGCCCAAGTAGTACAGATAGTGTACTATAGTGAATGAGTGTGACCGTGTCTGAGAGTTACAGTCTTTACGTCTGTGTACGATTAGTAAACATAGTTACCTCAGGTATCAAATGAAAATATATGAGAACAATGATCTGGGAAAAGTACAAATGTATCAAATATATGTGAAGTGTTGAGGTTGACCCATAAACTATACTCCAAGGAAAATATCTTGTGTACCTCGGTGTGAGCTTAATACACGTGTGACGAATAGCCACGAACACTTTCATAGAAAGTGTTAAACAATTGCAAAGTGTGGAGGAAGGAACCATACATAGGGAATACAGTGAAGTGGATATACCTAAGCCAAGAATCAAGGCCTTTGTTTGCTCTGGTGTACTGAGTACGGACGTACATGCTAGTTAACGTAAAATCAGGGGACGCCCTGAGTTTCCAATTGCTACTGAAGTTAGATCATTTTGATTCCGAATCATCAGAGAATCTGATGTTTGTATTGAAATTATTGTCAGTTTTGCATTTTAGAAAGTAATTAACTCCTGAAAAAATAAGTCGGTCTCTTATCGCCCTAAGATCTAACGACAAAATTTCAATACTCCTGTAGGGTTTCGTGATATAATGTTGTCTAGCACTCAGGATGGATGGAAACTCTAAGGTGGTGTTCTTATATAATATAAGTTATATGGTAGACAGTCTGGTGCTGGAGATGCCGTGTGGTGGGGAGCTGCTCAGTAGACACGTTCGGTGAGTAGCGTGTTGAAGGAGATAGATGTGCAGGAGCTTCGTTAGAGAAGATGTTGCCTGTTGCTGGCCTCCAGGTTGAATGAGAACGGGACAGCGAGGAGCTTGTTTGGAGGAGGTGTTGCGTGTTCAGGAACCGAGAGCAGAATAAGAGAGCTGATTGGTGAAGACGCTCAGAGAAGGACAGCTGGTGGGTCGCCATGCTCGCCTGCGGGAGCGAGGACCGCCAGGCAGGCGGAGGAGAAGCGAGGGCCGCCAGGCAGCGGCGGCGGAGGAGGAGGTGTTGCGTGTTCAAGGAGAGAGGCCAGAATGAATCTCAATGGAGAGACAGAGCTTATATACCCAGCAGCCGTGAGTCATCCGTGAGTCAACCTGGGAAACCCCGGGAAGTAGCCTGTCTTTTGGCTCGGTTGCTAGGATACTGTGGCATCTGGTGACGCCCCCTGGGCCGCTCGTTTGGTTGTTAGGGAAGACGTAGCAGGTGGCATGCAGCTACGCAGTTGTAGGGGAGACGTCCACTACACTCCCTTGTTCCTACTTAGCTGGCGTTGTAAGAAGGATGTTAACAGCTTGTGCGTTTGACGACAATTTCACTATTGGCTGGCAAGCTTGAACTCTGAATAGACTGTAAACAATAGACTTAAGAAATTGAACTGACCCGGACTGGTTAGCTCATTGAAAATGTCCAAAGGAGGGCCACCAGATTGGTGCCTGCACTGCGGTACCTCATCTACCACGAGAGATTGGAGCTCCTCAACTTGCCTAGGTTGTACTACACTCGGGCAAGGGGAGACCTAATTGAGGTGTACAAGCATCTCAGAGGGCACTACTCAGTCGAGTGTCCTTACCTGGAGATGGCGGACGCTCGCCCCACAAGGGGAGACAGCTCAATGTTAAAAAGTCGCAAGTCCAGATAACTGTGAGGGGTAACTTTTTCGGAGTGAGAGTTGTGAACTCTTGGAACAATCTGCCAGAGAGTGTGGTGGCGGCACCGAGTGTGAGCTCTTTCAAGACCAGACTTGACCAACAGTGGAGCAGGTTCAGATACATTCAGGAGCCGGTGCATGCCCAGTACTTGCCAACAGTTCGTAACAGACGTAACCGATCGCCGAGGCGACTAACAAGCCGATCAGTGGTGAGGAGGATAAAAGTAAAAAAATAAATATATATAAAATAATGACATTGATTTTCATAGCCAAATGTACAGCAACTGATTCAAATGAAGTGTATGTAAATGCGTGAATTGCCCCTTTAGGCATGCCTGAGTTGCCATTTGCCTCGTATATAACTGCATGCACGGGAGAGAGTGTCACTTTTCTAACACTCTCTCATCGCACCTCAGGTATGTAGATAGTGCCTCATGCCCACCATATTAAGTGAATTTAACTCAATTTAACTTTGTTGAATATCAATGTTCATATTTAACATAGTTGAAAGCCTTATGTCACAAGCGAAAACATAACGTTACTTGAACATTGTCTGTGTCGATGCCATGCTTCTTCTTTGCTAGACGTATGTGATTATTTGTAATTGAGTTTGACTTTTCTCAGGCTCCCTCATCGTATCTCAGGCACGGTGTGTGTTCTAGCTGTAACCCGCAGCTACCGGGGAGTGGTAGCTGCCTACCAGCCACATGTCCAACGCAGGTTGTCTTTAATTCAGCGAGATTAAAACCAGGGATTAACGCACCCTGGGAGCTAACACCGAGAGAGTGGGCTTATCTAGCACCACTCGCTGGAGTGTAACAAGGCTACAGCCGAGAGCATGTGTTTGAAAACCAACTTTGTGAGCCTGGTGAACTAATCTCAGTTATATGTGCAAAGTAGTGTTCTTGTACATGATTGGGGATAATTAGCAGAAATATAATTGTCCCAGTTGGGTAGTGGAAACCATAAATATTGCTATTACCAGTATTAGAGTTTGTTATGTGAGTTATGAGTAAACCATCAATGTCTTCTCCCAATGAGATGCTGGTACATGTTTCCATGTTGTTCATTCAGCAATAACATGATGTTATAAGTAATGTGTCAATATCACTGTGCTATTTAGTAGAGCGGATAATGGAAAAATCGTGCAAATGGTGATACAAGCATGAAATTTGGCATGATCATACCCTAGGGGCTATTTGTCAAATCTGCCGATTGGCCATTTGGAAATCCAAGATGGCTGCCAAATTGACCTTTGAAAGATTTTTTTTATAGAAATTGATGTAGTTGGTCAATCTAAATGATCTTAGTGTCCATATGTATGCTCAGATGATTTTTTTCTGTTTCTGATACTCTCGGATATATATTTGTCTTATTTATGATTGGTTTTATGTACTGGTTTTATGTTTTTTCCAACTAGCTGAGTGTAGCATGCAGAGGGTCTCTGCATATGAGGGAGTGATTGTCGGGCACTACCAGGGCACTCTGGTGACATCACTGCTGTGCTACCCAGCATGGGGTTCAGTGTCAGCTAAGAAAAAGCATGTCATACTGCAACAGCTTAGTGTCCCAAATGCTGCTTAACCAACCACAAATCAGTTAAGCAGCCGCATCTGAATTGACAGGATGTGCCATCGCGGGAGAGCAGAGCCAAGGATAACGGGGTTTTAGTTATCTGGATGGTGTACAGACGCACAGGACTAATGACACTGGATGAACGATCGGACTAGGTGTAGGGCAAAAGGCATGAACCTAGTTGCATCCCACACAAGAAAGTGCTCATCAGAGTGGTAAAAGGATAAACCCGCGACCCTGAAGATCAAAAATAGTTATGGACACAAAATCTACCAACAAATCATTCCTCACTGACTGGGCAAAGTGTTGTCTCTGTCAACAGGATAAGAAGGAAGATCTTAAGTCTCCACATGCAAATCCTGCCAAAAAAGGAGATGACGGTTACAAGAGCCTGGCAAGGAATATTCCTCTATTTTATTCAATCAATGCACCGCCAATAAAGCTTGACCCTGCAAGACTTGTTGAAGATGATGGGATAGAGGAGACCTTAAGGAGAAACAAGGCACAGTATCATGAGAGTTGTAGACTTCTGTTCAACAACACAAAGTTAAATAGAGCTCAGAAAAGGCGAACCTCTGCAGTTGCTACAGAGGAGAGCAGCAGTAGCAAGATACCACGAATGGTCAGAGACCCCAAAGCAACAGAATGCTTTCTATGTGAGGAAAAAGCTTCGGGAGATGACATAAGACATGCAATGACAATGAAACTT